TTTTTTTTTATTGGTCTTATGAAGTATTCTAATTTGTTGAGATAGTGAATTGGTGGGTTTTTGTTAAATGTGAGCCAAAATCATCACAATTAAAAGAACCAAAGACTTAAACTACTTCAGTCTGTGTGCATTGAATTTATTTAATACAGGAGTTTCACAATTTGAGTTGAATTAATGAAATAAATGAACTTTTCCACGACATTCTAATTTATTGAGATGCACCTGTATATGTTGATTTGACCCACTGAAAACCGTTCCCTTGCTCCATTTGTTGTTTTATGATTCTTTTAAACTTTTGCATGCACATGGAAAATGTTGTTGAAAGCTTTTTGAGTTGTAAACATACTGTATATGTATAAATATACTGTAGCTAGTTAATGCAGTTTCAACCATTTTGCGTTTGCGCTCAGAATAGACGACAGTATCATCTGTGAATTCTCATATTTAGTTGTAATCATCCATGCACGACAGAATGCACAATGGCTAATAGGCTCTAATTAGCTTTCATTATTGGAATGCATTTGATTGAAGCATTTGTCCCCCCAGTTTTAAGAGAACACTTTCTCATGTGCATAAGAGCTCTTGTGGCTGCTAGTGTGTCACATACCTGTGTGCCATCTGCGATCAATTTCTTGACGTGGAGTTAGTGAGTAAATCACAGGCCTGATAAGTAGAAAGTTTGTGGTTCAATTCAAACAAAAATCAAGCAAGCTACCTTGCTAATATAACATATAAATGTTATATTTAAATGTATCTGGATTAATGTAGACGTAGCCTAAGCCCAGTCATTCTACTCCCATGAAACATACCATTGATCATTTGTTTCTTAATCAGTCATTAAAAGTATTAATTTCAAGCTCCAGTCAGGACTGGACAGGTGACGCCAGACCACTTTCTGTCCACTGCTGTCTGACAACAATTTCATGCTAAATGCTCCTCTCAGAAGAAACATCGGATTGTTTTTCATCAGCGGGTTGAGGCCTCTTTGAGAGGAGCCCAGAGGAGAGCAAAATACATCCAGAGTACAAATCTCATTGTAAATGCGCTGTGCACCCTCAGGAAAGAGAGTAAAATTAAGTTTGATCTGCACTCTCTGTAAAACCATTCCAGGGATATTCACATGATGAACCGAAACACTGCAGCATCAAACAGAATACTCACGAAGGGTCAAGCCTCCTGGAAAAAAAAAGAACATTGCTGAAATAGAGTGGATTAATCTAAATTAACAAATCGTGACATTGCCCCAGGGATTGGATTGGCAGATTCACAAAGAAACCGAAGTAATCGATGTGAAAAAAGAAGCTGGAGGAGCAGAAATGCTCATGAGGACAATAACAATCTCAAGCAAACAATAAAGCAGTATAGTGAAGGCTGAACATTGAAAATTAAAGAGCAGAGTGGTGAAAAACCACTTTAAAACAATATCCACTGCTGCAAACGGAAGAACCATGCAAATATAATAATGTATAAATGCATATCATTAGGCATAAAAGATTGTCTTAATAAATACATTCATGTCTTTTGACTTCTAATGTGAATGGCCTGTTGCTGCTCTGCTTTTCATTTGGAAGCAATTACGTCCCGCTCCATTAGTTAGATGTTTTTAGCCTGAATTAGATCTAGCAGCAGGTGAGACCCTCCTGATCATCAGAGAAAAATGATCAACATCAATCAGGATGAGTTATGTGTCAGACTGTCTCATTTAGTTTTCAGTCATTAGCATCAGCATCAGTGGGTGGATAATTGGTTTTCTGTTGATGGGTTTCTATGTCAAAGGACAAACAGAAGTGTACAATTCATTGATATTACAGAGTGATGTTCATTGCCAACATGCCACAAGAAAATGCATTTTCCCTTTTTTGAACAGGCCAGGTTTCTAATTTTCTAGGTGTGCTGGTAGTGTACCAATTATACAATGACTTTAGGAATGGAAGAATTTGCGCCTTTTTAAAAGCAATTTTAAATGCATGATAATTGATTACATGTAAATGTAAATACAATTTTCACAGGGCAATCTGTTGAAGTTTGTCTTGTATGTTATATTATTGTGTTACTCAGTTTGTCTTGTACTTGCTATGATCTCCCATATACTGACATAGCAGTTTATCCTGCTTTAGATTATTTGTTGTTCCAAATCCAAAAATGTGAAAAGGATCTATGGAAAGCATGTGAGCACCGTTGCTATGGTATAGCTCCTCTGACAACTGTGACTTTTGTTTGTTTGCATCTATTTGGTGACAGGTGAAA